ATTACGATTCATAACAGTAGCAAATTTACAGTTATGAAGTAGCAACAAAAATAATTTTATGGTTGGGGGGTCACCACAACATGAAGAACTGTATTAAAGGGTCGCGGCATTAGGAAGGTTGAGAACCACTGCCCTAACCAAGCCATAGTTCCCCAGGCTAGACTGACAGGCAAGCATCTTCCCTATGTCACCTCAACTTAACTGCGCAAGCACCCATCTCCCCCTTTGTTCGATCCCTTCTCCCAGTGATCTATAGGGAATGGACTGGTGGCTCCCCAGTGCGTAGCTATAGCTTCCTGGTGAAGCTGTCCAGATGACCATGCTTATAATGTCTGGCCTCCCCTTTGCTCTCTTTCTAATTAATATTAATAACAAGCTAATTATGATGATAACAGTAACAATGAACCAGGAATTAATTGTTCTATGTCCTCTATTTGATCCTCATGACAATCAGTTGAAATAAAAATTATGATTATCTCCATTTTCAGCAAGGCAGAGGCCCTGAGCTACAGATTGAGACACACATCTAATAAGATGATGGACCAGAGGTGCGCAATAGATTTAGAGCCTGTATATGTAGGTACTCATAGAAAGGTAGGAAAATTTGATACACCATCTCCTTCAATAGGACCCAATATATCACAATTTCTTTTCCTTGAACTTGTCTTTAAAAAATAGACTATATATGTATAAGTATGTCCACTAGAAATATAATAAAATATTTTTAAAAATGAGAAACAAGATGAAAGACCACTAATAAGGGACTGGTTAAGTTAACCATATAATAGATATAAAACGGGGCAATTAGAAGCCCATTAGAAACCATATTGTAGAGTGATTCTTCCCAACCCTTTTCACATCATGACACAAAATAAAAATGAAAGTATTTTAATCACCCACTAGGGTAAACAATCAAGTGGGTTTGAGGTGACTATTCTAGACAGTGGTGGCACATGTCCACCTAGCCACAGGAAGAGTTGAGAAGATCAATATCTCAGCATGCCTATAGCTCAGTACTCAAGACCAGTTAGAAAGCTCTCATGTATCCTATATAATAAAAGCCTAATATGCTAAGTGTCTGGTTGATGGTTCGGCCGTTATACCAATCAAACTGTAATATGCTAATGATATGCTGAGGCTGCTCAACCAGTCGCTATGGCGTGCACTGACCACCAGGGGGCAGACAGTTGACCAGCCAACCAGTCGCTTTGATGTGCACTGACCGTCAGGGGGCAGATGCTCCAACCAGTAGGTTAGCTTGCTGCTGGGGTCCCGCCAATTGGGACTGAGCAAGATAGGCTGGACATGCCCTGGAGCACTCCATGGTCCCTCCCCGCTGGCCAACCTCCCACATCTCTCCCCGGCCCCATCATGCACCAGTGAGGTCCCTTGGTCTGGCCTTCACCCTCTCGCAATCTGGGACCCCTCAGGGGATGTCAGAGAGCTGGTTTCAGCCTGATCCCACAGGGGGAGTGCTGCTCAGCCAGAAGCCGAGCTCAAGGCTGGTGAGCACAGAGGCAGTGGTGGGAGCCTCTCCCACCTCCGTGGCAGTCGGACATCCCCCGAAGGCTTCTGGAATGGGAGAGGGCACAGGCTGGGCTGACAGACCGCCCTCCCCTTCCCCTGAGTGCACGAATTTCATGCACCTGGCCTCTAGTAGAAATATAATTTTCCATAGAAAAATGTTCACTAGATTTTGCTAAGTGAAGAAAACCAAGCTATAGGGAATTTGATCTTCTAGGATAATAACTCTATCAGTACAAAATGGAACAGACATACGGCCATACTTGTGGTTACACTATTGAAGGATCTTTATATCAGTTGGTAGGTTGTCACTGCACCAAGAGCACCACCACTACCACGTACACAGGGCTTCCTCCGAATCTGGCAACCCTGGACCTCCTCCAGGCGACCACAGGTAAAGCATGTGCAAACATCTGTTCCATATTCTGCTCAGTAGACACCCCCAAATGTTCCCATGTTTCCATACAGATATTTATGTCATTATCTATCAAAAACTCTTCCTTCTCCTGGAAAGAAGATATCCAACTGGTTATCTCTGGAGATTTCATGTTCTTACAGGACCCTTTCACCCCATCCTATGTGATGCAAACTGGCCAATCATAATTCTTTTTCCTTCTGGTCACAATTCATTAACTTATGAATGGACATGTGACCCAAACCAAGCCGATTAGAATCCTTCCTGGGGTTTTTCATTTGTTTTCGTTTTGAGTGTTTGCATGTGTGTGTGAGTACATGCATGTGTATGTGTGTGTGCATTTTACTAGAAGTAAAAGATTCAGTTCCCTGTTAGTTTTGGAAGCTATAACATATACAACTTGGGAGCTGTTAGTGCTGTAACTGCTATAAGGCCATGTGTCTGCCAGTAGAAAAAAGTGGAAGCAGAGGCAAGAACTGGAGAGATGTTTCTGTATTTCTCAGGCCTGATCATATCCTTCCCCTCGTCCTAATTTTTAATAAACATATCCCTTGGATTTTAGGAGACAATGAGATTTTTCAATTTGTATTTCTGGCATTTGGCACCTTTGGATTCTAGAGTCTTCCCTGTTTTTCTCCTCCGTTTCCTTCCTGGGCTAGGATAAAGCCCTACAGGAATTAGACTCAGCAAAATAAGTTGTCCTGAGAAGTAAAGAGCAGAGGGAATTTGGGAGTGGGTGCTGCCAGCAAAGGTAGCCTGGGGCAGCGTTAGGGTCCCCAAGGGATAGGGCAACAAGAAGGGCCCTGAAAACAGGGTCAAGGACAGAGAAAGCAGAATCTGAATCTTTCAGAAGTCTGCCTCAGGTGTTGCTGCTGTGCCTGGGGAAAGCGAGTGGGCAGTGCTTTTATTTGCATGTTATTTAAAAGATGGGGAAAGCCAGATTGTGTGTGAATTTAGAGTTAAGGGCTGATAATGATACTACAGGGTCCCCTTTGTAATGATATGGAAGTTGTAGAAGGGGAATTGGAAGACACAGAGGTGATGGTGATGTTTCACTATGCCGGGCAGAGGAGCGCATTGCAGATTGGGGGCCCTTCTGCATGTGAACGGCATGTTCGGGCAGCAGTGGCCTTCTCTGACATAGGTCACGGGGCCTGGTTCACAGCAGCACCAACCCCATCAGAAGCTGGAGGAGCCCTTGGATTTGAATGTGTGGAGAGAGCGCTCCCTAGCAATGTACTTGTATGAAACTTGGGTCCATTAGAAGGTAGACCACAGTCCTTTATTGTTTTTAAATCAAAATATCTTGTTTTTGAAACTCCATCTGTTATTATTGGAGACTTTTTCTTTCTCTGGGTTGTACAAGAATATGAGGATTTCTTGTAATATCTAGAAAACCAGGAAAGGGCTCTCTTATCTTCAGGTTGTCATGGTGATATCTACTATCCTCTTAGTCCCTCACAATGGGACCTGCATGCAGTTGATTTAGGAGCTCTTGGGGGTGGGGGTGGGGGGGTGGAGGCTGGGAGATATGGTCCTTAGAGCTCATCTTCCTTTAGGGCACCCACAGCGATTCCTCTGGAGCAGTCCCACCTCTCTGGAGTCACTGCCTCTGGTGAGGCAGAGGTCACTGCTGTTTGGGGAATCCATCAATTTCTGTGTCTTTTCTTTTTGTTTTCAGAGAGGAAGGGAGAGGGAGAGAAGGATAGAAATATCAATGATGAGAGATAATCACTGATTGGCTGCCTCCTGCACGCTCCCCACTGGGGATCGAGCCTGCAGCCCAGGCATGTGCCCTTGACCGGGATCATACCCAGGACCTTTGAGCCTGCAGGCCGACGCTCTACTACTGAGCCATACTAGCTAGGGCTCTATGTCTTTTTATAAGAGAATCTTCTCTTTCTTGTCAGCTCTTAAACCACACCCCACTAGTTTACCCTAGCAAAGCACTGTAAAGGAACCCCACATCTAGGAAAGGAGTGTCTGTAACCATATTCTGCTTTCCATCTGGAATCCAATCCTTCCCTATGAAAAGGGAGAACAGTGCGGCCCACCTGCTCATCAGGGAGAAAGAAATACCCAAAGAGCGCTAAATGAATTTCCAACTCACTCCTTTCACACGCTGCCAGTGGTGAGCTGTTTGTGCAAACCACTGGAGAGAATAATTTAGTGCCTCATTATTGTTGCTTGTATCTCTATCCCATAAAGCCCAGAGGTTCCCCCCTGCTCTGGGGAAATGGTCAGACTTTTTCTGAAGCCGAATCTCTGGTAAATTTGCTATAGTACAGATGTTGCTCTTTCTTTTGGCAAATATTTGTTATTGTGCAAACACAATCATAATAGCATCTATGTAATATGATAGAGAAATTGCAATATTTAGCCAATTAGGGAGTCTGGTATTAGGTAATTATTTTAAATCTCTAAAATAAGTTGTTTATTAAACCTTTTGCTTTGGGTGCCTGCTTTTGAGTGAACAGGTATCTTCATAATAGTACCCATTTCTCCCGTGTTTCAGATAGGCAGAGTTCTGCACAGAGTTCTATGCTACTTACTAGAGGAGGCTTGGAAGTCAGATGTAGTCCAGGAGTCTCACTTAAAACCTGCCTCAAGGGAAAGACTGGAAAAGTAAAAGAGAAGCAACAGAAATGCTCTAGCTGCATAGCCAGTGTGCATGCCTGAATAAGCCATGTGTGTGCAAGCGTGTGTATATTCACATACATACATACCATTGTCTATTGAGTTATGGGCATAACACTCTACATGGGCCATAACTCCATGACCATACTCATTTTTGAACCTTCTCAAAAATTGTAAGTATACATGCTTTCTCAATATTTACCTTTGAGTGAATGCATTGAATGAATGGCATTCAAGGGTATATTTGAACAAAGAAAGTGTTATCACAACACCCCACTTATTTGGAAGTTGTTTGCCCAACAACTGAACTATCTGGAACATAGCTAAGAACTGAGAAGAAAACAAACCAGATGTCTCAGGGCTCTTCACCATCAGGGACTATATTTACAAAAGCATCATTTTAGCCTGTTTACTCTTAAGTTACCTGTAGTTCAAGTCAGTCAAGTATTTTTGGTTTCTTTGATGAAAAGCCTTGAGTTTTGGAGCTAGAAAAACTTTGGCTTGAATTCAAGTAAATCAACCCTTCCAAGGCTCATTCTCTTAATCTGTAAAGCGAAATAATGACATTTAGCTATAAAATTATATTATGAGAATTAAAGAAACTAATCCTATCTAATAAAAGAGTAATATGCAAATTAACCATCACTCTGCAACAAAGATGGTAGCGCCCATAGTGGCTGGGCAGGACGCTGGCAGCGTCACCCCGGCAATGTCAGCCCAGCAGGCAAGGGGGGCCGCAGGCAGCACCCAGCAGGGCCTGCTGGGCATCGCCATGGCAACCAGGGAGCAGGCAAGTGGTGCCGCTGGCAACACCCAGCAGGGCCTGCTTGCCCATCCCCATGGTATGGAGCAAGCAGGCCTTACAGAGAGCAGAGAACCACAGGGAGTGGGCCCAAGCCGTCAGTAGCACATCCCCTGAGGGCTCCCGAATTGGAGAGGGTGCAGGTTGGGCTGAGGAACCTCCTCCCCCACTCCTCCACCCCCCCCACACACACGAATTTTGTGCACTGGGCCTCTAGTGTATATATAAAAAGACCTACTAGAGCTTTAATAGTGATTTCTTTTCTCTTCTTTCCCCAGCACATGGCAGGTGAGAAGCAGAAGAGGAAAAGGTTTCAAAGATGGAGAGACCAACAGTAGGAAGAAATAACAGACCCAGCCAGACCATTAGAGACAACAGATAGAAGAAGTAACCATGATCCTTACTCCCTTCTTAGGCCATCACTGGGGCCCAGTAACCAGGAAAAATGGAAATTACAATCATTATATTCCCTAGAAGTTGGTGAGACATGCTAGCCACTCTAGAACTACCTCTCTCCAACATAAATAGGTAGAAATTCTTGGGGGTAACAAGTATTACTTCACGCAGGTTAGAGGAGAACTGAGGTGCTCACATTACAAGAATGGATATATTATATTAGACTCCCACCTTAAAGCAGAGGTCAGCAAACTCAGGAAAGGATCAAATGGTACATGTTTTCAGCCTTCTGAGCCACACAAGGTCTCAGTCACATCTTCTTTTGTGTGTGCTTGTTTGTTTTGCCACACCTTAAAGATGTAAGAAGAATTCTTAGCTCACATGCTGTAGAAAAGCTAGCCAAGGACTGGATGTGACCCACAGATAGTATGCTGACATTGAGCAAGGACAGATTGTACAAGATTACAGTCAAGTCTCTTTTGAAATGTATTACATAAATTAATATGTGTATATGCCTGCATTTAAATCACCCCACTAGGTTGGTGAGACATGCTAGCCAAAACTACACTCACTGTCATTTAAAATATATTCACTCATGGGGGTTTGCCCATGTAAACTTGCCTCTACTTACAGACTGGAATTTTAACCAGCTAAAATGATAAACCTTGAAATGGAGATTCATTACACATCCACAAGAGAGATGTGAAACTATACCACAAAATAACAACAAGTATTTATTGTGAAGTTACTACGTGCCAGGCATGTATCTGTGCTTGCTGTGGAGTGAATTATGTCCTCTCAGATTCATATGTTCAGGCCCTGACCCTCAATATGACTGTTTTTGGAGATGGGGCCTTTAAGGAAGTAATTAAGGTTAAGTCAGATCCTAAGGGTGGAGCCCTAATTCAATAGATGGTATCCTTGTAAGAAGAGGAAGCCATGTGAGGAGTGTGTGTGCTCAGAGAAATGGCCACCTGAGATCACACCGAGAAGGTTGCCCTCTGGGAGCCAGAGAAAAAGGCCTCATATGCCAGCACATTGATCGTGGACTTCCAGCCTTCAGAATTGTGAGGAAATAAAGGTCTGTTGTTTAAGCCACATAGTCTGTAGTTTTCTTTTATGGCAGCCTGAGCAGACTAATGCAGCACTTATATAAGTGAAATCCTAACATGTCCTTATGAGGAAGGTGTTGTTATTTCCCTTAGAGAATAAAAATCTAGAGGCGATTTTTTGCCTAGTTAGTAAGTGACAGAGTTGGGATTGAACCAGGCAACCTGGGTTTATATTCTTAACCTCTAGCACAGTGCCTGTCATGGTGAGTGGGTTACATTGATGCTTTTCCCCACTTTATGTTAAGGATGGTTTCCCACTTAATTAACCAGAACCCATAGGAAGAGCTAACTGATGTTGAATAATGGTACTTAATGTCATTAGCACACCTGAGGACTTCTCTAAATCTCAGCCACCCAAGTTCATGGCTTCCAGAAGGACCAAAACAGAGAAAGAGCAAATGAGCTAGTAGTGCCTGGCAGGGTGGATGTTAGAATCTGCCCAAGGGAAGAAATACAAACCAGATTTGATTTTTCTCTCCTTATGCCTTAGATAACATATATGCACTTCTAATGTGCACCATGGCAACTTTCTATAGACATTTTTATATACACCTTTTTGTGTGTGCAAAATATGATGTGTACTAAAGGAAAGGTTAATTTCCCAAAATAAACTGGTCCAGGATTCTATGGATGGGAAGGGGATAAAGCAGACAAGTCCATGCGAGCCAACCTTCATTTTGGCCGTCCTTCCTCTCTTCTCTCCTCTGCTGCTCCTGATCTCTGAGCCTGGAATGCAGCGCTGGCGGGTGCTCAGTGGTGTTCCACAAGGGACATGCTCAGGCGCAGATTTCCAGCTTGATCCTGCACTGAATGAAGTTCTAACTGACTACACATGTGCAGATTGTTGCAGTGATGGGGAGCCAGTGCTAACACAGGCAGAGAATTACCATCAAAGGTAATTGTCAACTCTTGGGTCTACTTGGTCGGCAGGTTTTTTAAATTAATTTATTTATTTTTATTGATTTCAGAGAGGAAGGAAGAGGGAGAGATAGAAACAGCAACAATGAGAGAGAATCATTGATCGGCTGCCTCCTGCACGCCCCCCACTGGGGATCGAGCCTGCAACCCAGGCATGTGCCCTAATCAGGAATCCGACCATGACCTCCTGGTTTATAAGTTGACACTCAACCACTGAACCATGCCAGTCAGGGAAGGGTCTGCAGTTTTATAATAAAACTAGAGGTCCGGTGCATGAAGAGTCATGCAAGAATGGGCCTTCCTTCCCCTGGCTGCTGGCACCGCCTTCGCTCTGGCCAGAGCCGCCTTTCCGCCTTCTCACACTGCCCAGAGGCACGGAGTGGCAAACATCCTGCCCTGCCCTGGCTGCTCAGCGCCTGCATATGCAAATTAACCCATCATCTTTGTTGGGTTAATTTGCATACTCACTCTGGATTGGCTGGTGGGCATTGTGAAGGTACAGTCAATTTGCATATTTCTCTTTTATTAGTGTAGCTATGTAATTTGTATGGTATTGAATGGGCTCATCTGAATATTCTGAATGAAATGTGCCAAACCAGAAAGCTTCAATAGCATATGAGAAGAACCCACACAGCAAACTGACCCTCTTTGGGCTAGTGTTCAAAAGTATGGGATTTAATTCATTGAGTCCCCAAGAACCTGTAATTTTAGTGGCATAGAAATGGCTTCCTAAAATGTCTACACAGGCACTTTTAATTCTTTTCCTGTAAAATATGCACTGAATACCTAGTATAAATATTTGGTTGGATTATTGCGGAAACAAAGTCTGAGACAGATATTAAACCAAAAGTTTGGCAGTTCGATTTCTGGTCAGGGCATATACTTGGGTTGCAGGTTCAATCCCCCGTTGGGGCACTTTTGGAAGGCAATCGATTTATCTTTTTTTCTTATATCAATATTTCTCTCTCTCCCTTCCTCTCTCTAAGCATGTCCTCAGGTGAGGATTAAAAATAATAATTTAAAAAAATGTGAAAGCATCCCACCCATTATGCCTCCTAGAATATAGCACATTGTAGGTTTTGTTGAATTAAAATGAAAACAAAGGGGAAAATATGAATTTATATATAATAAAAATCACCTTCCCTTTGGCCTGCCGGAAGCCGGTCCATCCTTGCTGCTTGACACAGTCGCTGCAGGAAAGAAACATCTGCACAGCATATGTTTCAAGGGACCTGGCGTATATAGCATACTGTTCTTAATATGTTTGCTCCCCTTAGCGCTGTGTGTTTTAACCAAGGTCACCTCTCTGAGAAAGGTTGTTTCCCCAGGTAGGAATTTTTCCCTGAAGTCAGGGAGGGGATGAAACTCCTTAACTAAGTGCCAGGCGGGTAGTTAATCACTACAAACAATCATGCTTAAGCTACATAATCTTTACTCCCTGGAATGGAGATAAGAAACGCCCTAACCTTTGTAATAGAAATTGACAGGATTAAAATCAACTGGTATAAATACGGATGTAACAAAACAATAAACAGCAGAAGCTCTCTGGAGATCGAGACCACAACTTGGCTGGAGATCCTGGCTAGGCTGCTGATCAACTGAACGCTGTCTCCGTGTCATTCCTTCTTCACCGACTCCGTCTACGCCTTTGGGAACCCCTGGACCTGCTGGGGTTGGACCCCGGCATCTGGCGCCCGAACAGTGTTCCCTTAGGTAAGTCCCCCCGTACTTGGGACGGATAGGACTGCACCGTAGGGTGCTGCAGACCCCCCTCCCCCATAGAGAATAAGTAGGGTAAGCGGGTAGTTAGTACAGAACTTAGATTGACAAGATGGGTCATACTGAGTCTAAAGAAAAAAGACTCTGTATTAATCTTTTAACGCATATGCTTACTAGCAGAATTGGAGTTGAGGTTTTTCCCAGTGAGACAGAAAGTTTTATAGAAGAAGTATGTCAATGGCTTCCAGAGGATGGAACTGTTAATTTAAAAACTTGGGTTGAAGTAGGAAAGCAATTAAAGAAACACCATGAATCTGACAAGGTCCTGCCATGTTTCTTTTCCCTCTGGGATTCAATCTGTGACACCTTGGCACCAGAGGCAAAAACGGTTGAACTTTCTCAAAATTTAAATAGTCCCTCGGCTCCACCCAGAGAGGACACATCATCATTGTCTTCAGCTCAATCTAAAAGCAATTTAGCTATGCCTACTGATCGGGAGGAGAATAAATATCATAAACATGACCATTGTTCCTTTCCAGTCAGTAGAGAGGAGAATGGCCCTCCCATTCAAAACAGGCTCCCCAAATTAGAAAGGAAGCCTAAACCAGGTCCTGTGGCTCCTATGAGCTCCATGTCTAAATTTCAAAGGGCGATAAGAGAAGCTGAAGCTAATGGAGATCTTGAATTCTCACTCTGCTTCCCAGTTACATATGAGAATGAGTCTGGTGGGAATAGAAACCCCACCTTGGAGCCTATACCTTACAAAGTACTTAAAGAATTAAAATTGGCCTGCTCTGAATATGGACCTCTAGCTCCTTACACACAAACCTTGGTAGAAACCCTAGCCAGTAAATGGATGACTCCTTATGATTGGTCACAGGTTTGTAAATCCTGTCTCTCAGGAGGCGATTACTTATTATGGAAAACTGAATATGAAGATCTTGCTAAGAAAGCTGTAGCCACTCGCGAAAAAACCAGAAAAGGAATAACCCTAGACATGATATTAGGAGAAGGTGATTTTAACACGGCTGAGGAGCAAATGAATATGCCCACAGAGGCACTTACCAAAGTAACCAGTTGTGCAGTAAGTGCCTGGAAATCCCTACCTTATACAGCAGGAGAAACAACCACCCTTACAGAGGTTAAACAGAAGGTCGAGGAACCATATCAGGATTTCCTTTCTCGCCTCATACAGGCAGTCAAGAGAGTAATCAATAACAAAGAGGCAGCCGATATCCTAATCAAACAACTGGCTTTTGAAAATGCTAATAATACCTGTCAGGCTTTATTAAGGCCGATTCGCAGAACAGGAACTATAAATGATTTTATAAAACAGTGTGCTGATGTAAGTCCAGCATTTATACAGGGTGTAGCTATAGCTGCAGCTCTCAAAGGGGAGACATACCCTCAATATGTACAGGCTATAGGACAAGCCAGCAATACTACAGGTAATAAAAGAAATATGAACTGCTACTCTTGTGGCTTATCTGGGCACTTTAGCAGAGAATGCCCAAATAAAAATAATAATACTCAGGCCAGATGGCAAGCTCCTCGACAGCCTGGAAATACATTACGGAATAATATTAATCCTCCAAAA